GAGAAGGCAGCAGCATACAAGCTCATGCACAGGCCAACAGTCTAGCCTCTTCAGGACTGTATATTGGTGCTTTTCAGACCTTATGTCATTTCGGGTTAGTCACTCGGACCAAGACATGTAGACCAAAGCACCTTCTGGATATAAGGGGTCTAGTTTTACAGTGCATTTTTCAAATAGCCAGTTAATAAGGACTATCCCAGTGTCAGACTACAATGCAGACTAGATGGGCTGAAAAGGACAGGATTGAGAAAAGGTATGCAAAAGAGAACCAAACATAGGCTTCTTTTAAAGGGCTCTTCTTGGGCAATCACGCCAATGAAGTTGGTTCTGTTGGGTTTTCCTAGTAATCCTAAGTATGTGTGTGTGCCTGTACATATGTGACTGAGTGTCTCTGTTTCTTGCTTTTTTATACATATGTATAAATATATATAAAAGGTTTTACATTCTATTGTTGAATTTTGTATCATATATCATTTTGAATAGACTTTATTACAAAATATTTTTAGCACAGAAGGTGACTGAGATGTCTAATGAGTTTCGATCGACCCCAGGTCTGACTCAAAAGCCAAGGGCTGACTGGATTGCGTAGGCTTTTTCAAAACAAAGTTGTATATATTGCAAATTATAATTTCATTTATTGTACAACTTCCTATCATCTTTGTTCATAAATTCCTGAGTCCCATTCAGTTTCATAGTTTTCCCATTTATAAATTATTGTGAAGCCTAAAGCATCTCACGGCTGTGTATGGTGATGTCAAGCTGAGCTTGTCCGAATCTCATTCCTCACTGTCGTTGTAGCTGCTGTGATGAAGTTCATGTTGTGTGTCATTAAAAAGGAGTTGCTAGACAAGTGCGCTCCAGTCTTGGCGTCGTACCGTGACAGTCGGGGCCTGTGGTGGGGGAGCGGGGGGGGGGGTGTGATCTGAATCCATACTTTTCATGCTGTCGCTCGCGGATATTAGCGACACGGCCATGTGAATGCAGAGCCATGGCTTCAGAAGCCCCGCCCACCCCTCAGTAAAGAGCCTATAGAAAAGTCGAAGCATACGAGCCAATCACAGTGCAGAGCCATGGCTTCAGAAGCCCCACCCATCCCCCAGTAAAGAGCCCACAAAAACTTTAAGGCTTACGGGCCAATCAGAGTGCAGAATGTTGTAATAGGTAAGAGTCCAAACTCTTAAAAGAGATCCACATCAGAGACAGACAGCTCTACAGCTGCATCATAAATTGACTTAATATTTAATGTATTTGGAAAAGCTGGAATTATAAAGGCATTTTTCACAAAAAAATAATGTAATCCTTCTAGACATATGGTAAATATAAGGCAGAAAATCACATCAGTGCTATATTTTAAATAAGTAACCAATGCAAAGCTATTTTCTTTTAATCTAAGACATACAGGGTCAAGATTGAACTTGATCTCAAAATAAATGCGGCAGGAAATATTTGCAGACATGAGACAGCAATATTCGCTTTACAGGAAAGAAGCTCTTCTAAACCAGAGGATCTGCACCTATAACTGAGCCACGACAAACGGTGGGAGGGATGGGGGCTCAGCGGCTAAGCTTCTGTACTGGAAGGTTGCAGGTTCGAGCTCCGGCAGAACAGTGACATGTCCGTGGGCCTTTATCCTCAGCCCCACGGGCGCTGCACGCTGGCTGACCCTGCGCTGTGACCCCCCCCCCCCCCCCAAAGCTTTCTCTCGCCTGAAAATGTGTCTCTGTGTCCCATGGAAAGTAAGATGGGGTAGGAGGAAAGTTTTAATTTCAATAAAAGTATCACTGTTCTATTCTATAAGGACGTCATTAGCAACCAGCAAACAGAGGGGGAGACAAACAGAACAAAAGATTTACAGTAATCACAGTTATCTGAATTCACACAAGCCAAGAGTCTCAGCACCCCAGACAGCAAAAGCATTTTCTTTCATGCGGCTCCCGATTCCATCCATGGAGCACCTTCCATAGATCCTCCGCCAGAACAATTTTACTCTCCAGATGAGATTTAATTCAGATCAGGCCTTCTGCTTATCCACAGTAAAGAAGCTGGAGATCCGCTGATGGAAAGCTGGCATTCAGCGAAGTGTTTCGAAGGAACGTTTTGGTAAACAGCAGTGTGTTTGGAGAGGGACACTCTACTGTATATTGGTCAGGATGGGCCATTTAAAGCTTTCTCCTAAACCCATCCAATAAAACGTTTTGCACCACAGAAACGTTAAAATATGGTTGTGCATGGTCAATAAGCAGGAAAAAGGAAAAACATGATGAAACTGCCTTTGATGTGCAGTAGGTTTCATGACTTGTGTTAAAATAAAAAATTAGGGTCTTTCAAGCCAGCTGTTTGAGGCAATGGATAGGGATAAATCTCCAGTGTTCGGGGCCCTGCGGCCTAAGCCACGCCCACCAGAGCATCACCCCCACACACACCGCAACGTCACACTCACACACACCACGCTGTCACCCCCGCACACACCGCAACGTCACACTCACACACACCACGCTGTCACCCCCGCACACACCGCAACGTCACACTCACGCAGCGGACACGCC